TGATGGGTACTTGGTATATTGACTTTTGCGTAGACTCCCCGGCAACGGCGCCAGAAATGGCTCGTTGTCGGGAGTCAAATCTTGACTTGCGTGAACCTCCCCGGCAATGGCACCAGAAATCCTTCTTGCTACCTCTTGAGCACTGCGTTGGTTTTCCCTTGAAGAGGAAAGGGTGATGCAGCAAAGTAGCGCAAGTATTTCCCTCCGTTTTTGAGAACCAAGGTATCAATCCAGTAGTAGGCTACGCACAAGTCCCTCGCACCTGCACAAAACAAATAAATCCTAGCAACCAACGCGATAAGGGGTTGGCAATCCCTACACGGCCACTTACGAGAGTGAGATCTGATAGATATGATAAGATAATATTTTTGGTATTTTTATGATAAATATGCAAAGTAAAATAAAAGCAAAGTAAAAAAGCAAAGGAAATTACTAAGTATTGGAAGATTAATATGATGAAGATAGACCTGGGGGCCATAGGTTTCACTAGTGGCTTCTCTCAAGAGCATAGGTATTTTACGGTGGGTGAATGAATTACTGTTGAGCAATTGACAGAATTGAGCATAGTTATGATAATATCTAGGTATGATCATGTATATAGGCATCATGTCCGAGACAAGTAGACCGACTCCTGCCTGCATCTACTACTATTACTCCACTCATCGACCGCTATCCAGCATGCATCTAGAGTATTAAGTTCAAGAAAACAGAGTAACGCCTTAAGCAAGATGACATGATGTAGAGGGATAAACTCAAGCAATATGATGAAAACCCCATCTTGTTATCCTCGATGGCAACAATACAATACGTGCCTTGCTGCCCCTACTGTCACTGGGAAAGGACACCGCAAGATTGAACCCAAAGCTAAGCACTTCTCCCATTGCAAGAAAGATCAATCTAGTAGGCCAAACCAAACTGATAATTCGAAGAGACTTGCAAAGATAACCAATCATACATAAAATAATTTAGAGAAGATTCAAATATTGTTCATAGATAGACTTGATCATAAACCAACAATTCATCGGTCTCAACAAACACACCGCAAAAGAAGATTACATCGAATAGATCTCCACAAGAGAGGGGGAGAACATTGTATTGAGATCCAAAAAGAGAGAAGAAGCCATCTAGCTAATAACTATGACCCGTAGGTCTGAGGTAAACTACTCACACTTCATCGGAGGGGCTATGGTGATGATGTAGAAGCCCTCCGTGATGGATACCCCCTCCGGCGGAGCTCCGAAACAGGCCCCAAGATGGGATCTCATGGATACAGAAAGTTGCGGCGGTGGAATTAGGGTTTTGGCTCCGTATCTGATCGTTTGGGGTACGTAGGTATATATAGGAGGAAGGAGTATGTCGTTGGAGCAACAGGGGGCCCATGAGGGTGGAGGGCGCGCCTGGGGGGTAGGCGCGCCCCCCTACCTCGTGGCCCCCTCCTTTGTTTCTTGATGTAGGGTCCAAGTCTCCTGGATCATGTTCGGTGAGAAAATCACGTTCCCGAAGGTTTCATTCCATTTGGACTCCGTTTGATATTCCTTTTCTTCGAAACCCTAAAATAGGCAAAAAAAACAGCAATTCTGGGTTGGGCCTCCGGTTAATAGGTTAGTCCTAAAAACAATATAAAAGTAGATAATAAAGCCCAATAATGTCCAAAACAGTAGATAATATAGCATGGAGCAATCAAAAATTATAGATACGTTGGAAACGTCATGGGGGTATTTTTCACGACGAAAAAGGGTTCTACGTGACACAAGTGAAACTCACAAAATAGATAAAAATTTGTAGTGTACTTCGTCACCCACCCCCTTCGTCTAGCACTATCTCATCGCCAGCGTCGTTGTCATCTTCCCGAGCCACTTCATCTACTCCGACAACCGCAGTCAACGTCGGCACCTTCTATCCCACATCGACTAGCGCCGCAACCGTCATCATGTTCTTCTCTGCTAGCTCCCTAAACATGGCGTACAGCTCATGCTGGTCCCCGTCTATGCATGCCCGATGCAGAAAACACCGACGCATGCCTTCGTCCATGACGTGTCCCGGGGCCTAGCATGCCTAGTGTGATGCCTGTCAACATCAACTTCATACATCTACTCATGTCAGTGCCGGTAGCACCGACTCATGCCTTCGTCCACGACGTGTCCCCGGGCTTGGCAAACCAGGCGCGATGCCTCGTCGACACCTTCTTCTTCCCGACACACCACTTCCGAGTCCCCATGACCGACTCGGTGCCTCCTTGCGCCCGTGGCTCCATCGCGACTACCTCGACACTAGCCACCCCGACTCAACATTGACCAGGACATCCTCTCACGGCTACCTTGACCAAGGCTACACCACCCTACCCTCTAGGCTACCTCGATAACGTCACAAAGGGCTACCACCTTGTTTGAGCAAACTTGTTGGTTTTCACTCCAGCCACGATTTCGGTGATGCATCGACAGTTACGACTGTGGGGGGATGTTCGTCGACTTACAACCTTGGGATTCTTCTCTAGTCTCATCGTCTGCATCACTACCGTTGTGACTGTGGGGGGATGTTGAGTATAGTGATTATTTAGGAAGTATAGGATAGCGTGGGATTTATTCTATTTTGTCTTGTACTTCAAGAAGGTCATGTACTCCTATATATATGCCCATGAGGCTCAAGCAATACATCATCAATCCCACCATTCTTCCCCTTTATTCCTCTACAAGTGGAGCTACTCTACTAAGACAATTCAGAAACATGGGAAGCGGAGGGCGGCTAGGACATCTCACTGAGTTGGGGCTCCCGAGCTCGAAACGCCAGCGGGGACACAAAATACATCTGCTCTGCCGCCAAAACCGAACCCGATCACGATGGCGAAACAAAATCCATTGGGGGCACTAAGCTCTGCCGCCAAATCCGAGCCCGACCACGATGGCGAAGACCGTATCTTCCCACGCGCAGATTCTCCTTCCTCCAGGAGGGGTGGAGCTCTCGGGTGTCAGACTCTCAGGGAGCGGGCACAGTCGCGGCGTGGCGTGCGCCTAGAGGCAGGGTAGTGAGGGGTGGGATTCGACCATAGTTTAAAAAAGCGTACCTATTTTTATTATATATTTTTTGTGCGGAGACCTATTTTTACATAATTCTATGGCTTAAAACGCATTAAATGAATTGATGAACCGGCGGTCCGACCAGTAAAAACCTAAACTGACGGCATCATCGGTTCGATCGCTGGTCCGGTTTTTAAAACTATGGATTCAATGATGATGGTGTGTAGTTTTCTCGGGCGTGCGAGGATATTTTAGCTGGAGTGACTTGCTATGATTTGGGACGATGGTGACGGCGCAGGCGTGGAGTACAGAGCTGGCAGTGCATGGCAGGTGTGACGTGACAACAAGGACGACACCGAGGGCTCGTGACTGACTGACTATGGCGGCTGCAGTTTTTTAGACGATCCACGATGAGGACTGCGTGTGCTTACTTCTGACTTTCTGAGTCTAGAAGGAAATCATTGGCATGATTTCAGGAACACGAATGCCTCATCGGATCGTGGGGGACGGGCAGCGATCCACACGGTGGTAGTCCACGGCAGAACATCGAAGCTAAGCCGTTAGATGACATAGCAGACCATCAAAGTAAGATAGACTCTTAAACTTTATTAGGTGGGAATGATCTGAGGGTATTTGAATTTTTCTTTTTGAAATTCTGAGGGTATTTGGTTGATGGTTTTATAAAGAACTCTACTCCCTCTGTCCTATAATAATATAGTATTAAAAACGCTTTTATATTATAGAACGGAGGGAGTAATTTGCAAGTAGCGGAGACTCCTAATATAGCAATGGTTCTTGAACGTTAATAGTAGTAAAACGTTACACGTTGGCCCGCGGATAACTAGAAAACATCCGCCACGTAACTGCTCGTTGGATGGACGTGAGGATGGCTATCCGATCTACTCGTCCACGTGCGTGACCTTCCTTACAATAAGAGCGGCGTTGCATAAACATTTATAACAATAGCCGTCTGATCTATCGTCCCAGCTAGTTGATGACCTTTACAACAACTACCTTGTTGCGCTTAGGGGGTTTGCAATAAGACCTTGTTGCAAAGGTCCATCGAGACAACAGGCCACGCGCCTAGGCGCCGCCGCTCGCCGGAGTTGCTGCTCCTCCTCCACCTCAGCCCCGTGAGCAGCTGCTAGCTCCACTCCAGCACAACGACGACCTCTCATGTCGGGCGCTCCTCCGGCGTTTTTTACAACTGGAGCTATGTTTTTGAAACATGACTCATGTTGCAAAGTCTGGCCGCCCACTCCCTAACTATGAAGTGCTCCTCTGATGCTTTCTGCAACTCGGACTATGTTTCTAAAACGAGACCCTTGTTGCAGAAAAAAAACTTCATCATCGAACTATTTTTAATCTTTGTGAAATAAGATGTCTATTGCAGAAACCTTTTGAAATAAGACCTATATTGCAGGAAAAAATAATCTTCACCACCAAATTGGTTTTTTCTCTTTTTGAAATTAGTCCCGTGTTGCATAAATCTACTGAAACAAGACTCTTATTACAGAAAAGAAAACTTTGTTACAGAAAAGAAAACTAGCTGCCGGACTGACTTGTGGCCAATGTGGGCGATCAATCAGGATGGATCCAACGGCTAAGCAAGCGAAGGATGCTTTGCTTGCATCCGCCAGCTGAAGGGTAATGTTTTCCTTTTCCAAAATTCAAACTATCGAATTCCATGTCAGTCACACGATGCTCCATCTTTTCGTGTGAGTTGATCTGATGGCCTGCTTGGTAAGCTACCAACAACGGGTTTTAAACCTTTAATCGGGCGGCTCACGTTTCCTGTAAGTTGTAAGCCACAGCAGCAGACGAGGAAACGGCTGGCTCAGAGGCGAGCAGCCATGCGGCACCGGTCTCTTCTCCATCGGGGTGCAGATAGAGCGGCGTCGGTGCAGCGCCACCCAACTCAACCAGTGGACAGCAACGACCCATCCACCGGAAGTCGTCGATCGGCTGCGCGACGGACTCGTCCCCATGGCGACCCGGGCTCTGCACTCGTCGAGGCTCACGAGCCCACCGCTCACGGTCCGGCATGCGGCGGCGAGGTGCAAGTGCTCCGCCGCGCCGCTCTTCGCGAAGCGACTGCCGCTCGTCGTCGCCTTCCCTCGCTCCGTCGCCTCCTGCTGCGCCGTGCAGGAGTCATCCGCCGGCGCCACCGCCGCCGCCGCAACCACGGGTACCCCCATTCGATCACTCAGCTTAATTCACTATGCCATCAGGAGTGGTGTACGCAGTGATGATCATCCGCGCTGTTCTTGTAGCACATGAAGCTTTAGACGCTTCGGATGCTGCATGCATCGGTGTATCTGAATTTTGCCTGTTCTGAACTTCTGATGCAGTTAGCGAGACGAAGGATGCAGACGGTGACAAGAAGGAAGCCGCCGCCGCGGAGGCGAAGCCGGCAGCCAAGCCAGCGGCGGCCAAGCCGAAGAAGGCCCCGCCGAAGCCACTGCCGGAGATGATGGAGGAGGAGATCATCCCTCCTCTGAAGACCGCGCTGGAGGCCGAGGAGGACGTGTCCCAAGTCGTGCTGACTTTCCAGAACAACACGGTGAGATCAGTTGTTCATACCAACAAGCGATTGCGCCAGTCACAGGCCCAACACACCTGTGATTTGGCATCGCTACTGCACTATCACCGTGCAAGCTATGAGTAACTAGCACTAGGCATGGCACTGGCTCATTGCATATTTGCATACCAGTACGTCCTCGTGGTGTGATTTTAGCAGTTTTGGCACTTGCTTCCTCACTCTCCAGCCATCACGCAATGCTAGCAATCTTCAATGTACTTTGGTGCCATTCTGATCGATCCTTTGGGTGTCGATGGTTTGCAGTTGGAAGGTTCCTTCGTGAAGGAAGACATACCCTACTACTTCTGGGCCTTCTTTCCGCAGGGAGACCTCACAGGTAGTACAAACTAACTTTGGAACCCTTCTGTCCAATGCCGTTTCTTCCCGTGCAATGCAATGCAATGCTGGTTTACTTGCTGAGAATACTGTTGACAAGACAATCCTTCTTGACCTAGTTTGCTACTCGTTTAAACTTCTGAAAATCTCGGCGCGAATTACTGTAATCAATCACTTCATGGCCCAAAAACTACATAACGAAATCATTTCTACTACAGTACATATCAACTAATCTGAATTCTCACTTCGATGGGCTAACAACCGCAGGACCGAAGGGCTTTGCGATGACGTCCTACTCCATGGAGGTGAGCACCATCGAGCCGTTCCTGATCGACGAGAAGAGGATCACTCCACAGTACGTGGTGTTCTGGGTGTACAAGAGGCTGGCCGGCCAGGGGGTCCTCCCTGTCTGGAGGGCAGAGGACCTGAGTCCTGCTCCTGCAGAGTAGTCAGTAGTAGCAACACATGAAAGATACACAACATACAGGGTGATCATACGGGCACAAGTTACTCTGTGTATAAGATGTCCATGCCTAATTGTGAATTGAGTAAAGATGCTGCAAAAGGTTCATCTGATTCTTTTTCTTCTGATGAAGTCCAACCTTGATGATAACTGTTGCCCTGAGATGGTCGCCTCAACAAACCATATATTGTGAGCAAAGAAATGGTTTGTTGTTGAAATTGAAAAAAAGAGGGCTAATTGTGCTTGGCTGGGCCTCCATGGGCCAGACCGCCCTGGTTTCTGCCGGAAGGTTCCTGACGATCATCAGCGGGTACAATCCAAAACCCATTATTTTTCCACGGCAAGGAAGCAGACAGTAGAGCATCGCCGTTTGTCATCCGAAAGCTGTATTGTACCTATCCCAAAGTCCTTCCAGTCGCACTCCATCCCATTCAGCATTTCGCCATTATCTGAAGCCACCACATGCATAGCCTGACTCGCCGCGTAGTGCTAGATATCTTAGTAATCGTCAGTGTAAAGATAAAAAAAAATGAAGTGAGGATCGTCGTATGCATGCATGAGCAATCTGAAGATGAACAACGAAAAGTAATTTGAATACGCCGATCCACCGAATCCAGTGATAAACCATCAAGTAAGAAAAGTTGATTTCTGCGCTCCAGGTGCAGATCACACATTTCCCTCACGTTGGTTTGAGTTGTTACCTAGATTTTGTCGAGAAGAAAGTAAGAAACCGTGCACCATGAATCCATGATGAACCTTCCTAGGTCGGCCTCGTAAAAATCCAGCGACATGTCACACACACCTGTAATGCACAGCTCTTATCCAAAACGGAACACGACAACTCTATCCGCATGGTTGATTAAATGTTGCATTTGGATGATACTCCTAGTTCAGATTGGTGCATAATATACCAATCATTATTTCTGATTAAAAGATCCATTACAAAAGTTTATATTTTTGTATAACCAATAGCACTATCTTTTTCTCGGTTCTCCTTTTTCTTCCTCCTGCACCACGCAGCAGCACTGACGAAGGTGGCAAACCTGGAGGAGTGAAGTACAGAAGGGAGAGGTGAACACACGCGCGCCCCACGGTTTACAGTTAGCCACCGCATCTCTGCCAATCGCCATGCTCGCCTACCTCCTCCACGCGCCCGCCGCCGCCGCGCCCAGCCCGCTCGCCCTCCGCGGGCCGCCGGCCGCCGCGTCCAAGACCCCCTTCCTCCCGCCCTCCATCGCCCGCCCGCACCGGCGCGCCGCCGCGGCGGGCGCCTTCTCCGCCGCCGCCGTGGGCCCCATCGCGGCCTCGCTGCTCGAGGGCCCCGTGCTGCTCTGGGCCGGCCGCCTCTGCGTCTACTACGCGCTCATCCACATCGGCCTCGCGGGATCCCCCCGCAGCCCCTTCCTCTCCCACGGTAATGACATCGCGCGCCCGCGCCGCGAATGATGCGATGATTCGCGCGGTTTGGTTCAGGAAGGGAAATGGGTTTCTGATCTCCGCGTGGTGTGTGCAGAGATTCGAGGCGAGGACGGCGCCGGGGAGAGCGACCTAGGGTTCTCCAAGTGGGCCGACAAGCTCCGTGGCGGCGCACCAGGTATCTGCGGTGTGGATTCAAATGTTCTGTCGATAATGATCTTTTGTGCACCGCTGCTCATGCTGTGTTTAGTGGAGTGGAATGTGAATGCTGTGACCTGCGAACTGTACAGTTTGGTATATCCTGGGTAGTGGGTCTGGGCTGGCTGGATTGTGGATAAGGAAGAATATATTCTTTCTAGAATCTGTTGAGTAAGCTTTCTGCTTGGTACCACGGAGCAAAGTACATGGGGGATAATCAGCCTTTTTCATCTTTGGATGAGGTTTGGTCAAACTGGGACTGATAAGGTGGAAGCATTTTGTGTGTGGGTGCTCCCAAGGAGGGTTTTGTCATGAGGAGTTTGTGGGGAAATTTTGTTTGAGATGTAGAAAAAGGCAACTGCCATGCCTCATGTTGTGGATTGCTACTATCATGGAACAGATACATCCTCATCTGCTGTTGGCATGAGAAATAATGAGAATATTGCACCTATTTGTGGATTGTTTGTAGTACTTAGATGGGTGGCCGTAAGGTGTATTTTGGTTGTCAAATTCAAGCTTTGACCAACAATTGATCCTAAAACTGATTTCATTGGATTCTTATTCAGAAGTATTTTCCTTATGATTGTGGTTTTGTAACTATTGGCAAAACATCGTTAAAGAAAATTTACAGCTATAACTTGAATTTTAACAGTCAAATATGCCTTATTTATCCGTACAGAGAGAGTACTGTGTAAGGAACCTCTCAAATTGGGAAGAGTTTTACATGGAGGATTTGTGAAATCTAGATACTTTTTACTTTCATCACTTTATGAATTTTCTAAGTATCTTTTGTGTGATGCGGAAGATACTGAACATCTTTTGTGTGATGCGGAAGATACTGAACATCACTTGCTTCTTTTCTAAGTATATTTTGTGATAGAGAACACATTTAGCTATTAAAAGATTGAAAAGTTGTGAAAATATTGCAGAACACGCGTAGTTCTAGTTCATTGCCCATATGGTTTCATACATGAAGCTGATGTATGCTCTTGTTATTCAGGCGACAAAGAAGGCCAGGATAAGTGGAAGCTAGTCAGTAAATGGAAACCCACAACCAAAGGCACACTGAAGAGGATGTACCGAGTTCCTTCAAAGGAAGAAGGTCGCCGAATTCTTAAAGAAATTGCTTTGGTTCTATCTGAAGATGACAATTTTGTGGATGCTTCCACTCACAAGGTGATTTCATTCTTCAGCCAGGGCAAATACATTCGTCTAGCTGCTTTGTATGCTTTGCATCTCACAAACTGAGATGTTAGGCATGTATCTTTTTATTCTTCTAAAATCAGTGCTCTTTTAACTGATTGCCTCAACTTGCACTCAGGGTTGTCAAATCAGGAGGGAAAGCGCGCATGGAGAGAGCGTATGTTGCTACAATGTAAGAGCCTTGTTTGATGAGCTCCCCGGCCCTCACCTAGTTCTGGAGATTACACCTTTTCCTGTTGGAACCCTCACTGAGAGTGACTACCGCAAGGCCGAGAGGCTTGAAATGGTGCTGAGGATGAGTGCCTCCCTTTAAACCAGAAGAGCCATTTTCCACTTCCACCTCATAACTCCTTTTTGCCCAGATTGTAAATTGTCTACCATTGGGTCTGTAAATTGATGTTGTGTCGCTAAAACCTCTCCTTTAAACCTGAGTTCTGCTCAGCATTTTGAGATATTTGAGGCCAGAACTCTTTTGTTTTTTGTACTCACCGGCCTTCCATATTGAGGGCAGAATTTCCATTTCCCAGTAACTAATATGCAAGCAATTTATTCCTAGATTTTACTCCTATTGCCAATGAAATATTTTTGTGGCAGAAGCTAGTGTGTGCTGATGAGCATTGAAATGTGAGATAGAAAGTACAATTAAGCTGTTCATCTTATTGCTCCTCATTGACTCATGTAACATAAACTAGGACCATATATAATTGATCACTTTCAGGTTTGTTTGAAAGTTCATGTTTCAGAGCCCAATGTGATTTGTGTTTGTGGCAAGTCACCAAATCAAATGCAAAATGTGATACTCTACAAAGTTGCAGGTACTGAAATCAGGCAAAGCAGGTTGCAAAGTTACCAAACTGCAACATCATTCGTCAAAGCTTGAGGCTCAACCATCTCTGAGTTAAGTACCAGATACATTCACAACAGGTAAGGAAGGATAGGCCTATGGTTGCCCAACTCCGATCTCTGGGATAGTCAGGATGCGCCTTATTTGAATAAGTACACACAAAAGAAATATGATGAAGATTTCAGTCTCCACATAGTGCCGTCAGCACACCAGTGCTTTCAACTAGATGAAACTCAAAAAGGACTCATAACAATGTCTTGGTCCAACTGATATTGCAACACATTTACGGAACATCTTCATAAGCCAAGGATGAATTGCCACCGGCAGCGCACCAGAGGATGCTTTGCTTTACCTCATCATGGAAGCCCGCTGGTGCATTCCGTTCGTTGCCAGCTTCCCGTTGCCATTCAGTGCACTGAAGCTAACTGTGGGACGGAAGCCAACCGAGGGGAAGCAGGTGCGCTCCTGATTAGCCAGCATGCTGATTGTTGAAAAGCTTGACACGTTGGCGGGAGCTGATGCCGAAGGTGCGAAGGCAGGGCTATCCTGAAGGAGTGTATTCTTGCCAAGGACCTTTGTACAGCTTGCACCACCTGAAGCCTGCTTCTGCTTCTGCTCCTCGAGTTGTTTTGTGTTGAGGAACCGCCCTCCTGTTCCACGAGCTCGCTTCATGGCATGGCGGTGCCGAGATTCATGAAGGTATGGCTGCATGTAAGGGGCGATGTTAGAAAAGGTACTCCCTCCGTTCCATAATTCTTGTCGTGGTTTTAGTTCAATGCTAGGTAAAACTTATAGTTCTAAGTAGATGGGTACAAGCCTTCAGGAACTAAAATGCTGAACAAATGAATGTTGCAATTTGCAACATGGTATGTACTTAAGACTAGGAATATGCCTCTGCCAGAGGTTTTTATCAAGGTTTAGTACAAAAATGTACTGCGGGGTCAGATTAGATTTAGTCCTCTGAATATTACCAAGGTAGCCTAATAAATCTGTAGCTGAAATCTATGCATTGGTGCAGCAGTCAGCAAATACCAGAGAAAACAGAAGCATCTCTTTACAAAAAAATAGTATAGGAACAAATACAAAATTCTTCAGTATTGTATTACCTTCCGGGCTTTCACCAGCTTATTTTGGGCCTCCAGTTTAGCACGTATCTGCCTCCTCCTAAGAATTGCATGGTATTGCTTTGCATTAACAAACATGGGCTCTTCTGCTGCAAGCTCAACAGGGAGCGGCACACGAGAGTTTGTTGCAGCATTTAATTGGGGATGAACCTGGGTAAATAATACACAAATCGTTGATGCAGGACCATTAGTCTTTCTTTTGATAAATATGACAAGGGAGGGACATTTTTTTAACAATCACATGAAACTATATGCCATAAATATGACCACTATCATGTGCATTGGCAGGATCAAAATATGATTTCAGTTAATCCTATCTATTTGTTTCCATTATTTCTGAAGCGATCAATAAAGCTCAAGTCCTTAATGCGAAAACAGTGAAAGATCTGTTTGTGTACTTCTTTATCCTTTTAAGAGGACGCTTTTAGTGTGTTCTGTTGCTTCTCAACAGTAATTGAACTCAGCAATAAGGAGGTAGAAAGATTATCTTCTCGATGAGGCCAAGCCATAGCAGAATGATAAGATCTCCAAAACTCAACAAATCGTAAACGAATTTAAAGAACTCATAAATGGACCACAGAGATATAAATGAGATATGTAATCACCTTGAACTGTAAAAGATCTTACAGGATTTGGAGAGTAAAAGGATAGAGTAAACTTACAATAGCGTGCAAGGCATATCCTGGAAAGATCCCAGCATAAGCATCAGCAGTATAAGGAATATATGCCTATAACAAAAAAATAGCTGGTCAACTGAAGGCAGGATATGAGATAGAGAACAATTCCCATGATGACATGAACTTACAAATGATTGGCTACAATCAAGCATTGGTGGGGGAGCAACAGTCTCTGGGTTCCCCAAAGATAAAAGCGGCTTTACCATGTGCTGATCGGGCTTCCCATGATCATTGTCATTGTCTGAAACAAAAAGGTTATTACTGTTAGCATGAAGATATAATCGGATCAATTCACCTCATTGTAAATGGGGCTTCGGAGATGTGAACATCATCGGAGAGAAGAGCCACTAATAAAGCAAAAGACCTGTCAGAAGTTATAGTTTAAGAGATAATCTTCTCTTCATCTTTTGAGAAAATGCAAATAATGAGTTTAGGCATTGGTAAGAAGCATAGTAATAGGGGTGGCCGATAATTAAAATACAGGCACACATAATGCATACCTAAACTCAGAAACGAAACGAAAAGAAAAGAATTGTTACTCCCTCTGCCTCAAAATATAAGACGTTTTTTGACACTGTTAGTACATCATAAGAGCTGAAACTGCAGAGATATGCAGATTACTAGTGTGACAGTGTGGTTAAAGATAAAGCATTACCAGATTGTGATGAGGGTCTTGAGGTGTGTTGCTCATTTAGACCACTGTCACTCGTTGCAGATGCTTCTTGTTGTGACCGGCCAGACTTGGCTGATGAGGAGTCCCGGTCGTAGTTCTTATGGACTAATTTATTCGTATGAACACCATTCCCTGACAAGAAATCCTACGCGCGCAGAAGCCAGCTGATAAGTTTGTTATTTGTGGCGTAAACCCCCCCCAAAAAAACACAGGTTTGACTATAAATAGTAACTACTTACATAGTTGGAAATAGGATGGCCAGGATGATCCTCCATTTTACACATAAGTGTTAGCGTTATATTACGGTATCACTTAGCTCCAAGCAACATTTTTCTGCAGGGATTTCTAATTAGCTTAGTTGAAATGGCGCCTTATATTGCCAACATTAAATTAAACATGGTAAAAGGACAGTTGCAGCAGCGACCCCCTATCACTTTGTTTATATCATTAAGGAAGAATTTGATTTATACACAATCACTTGCAGTTCATTAGGCAATCACTATTATAGCACACCAGACAAACAGATATATTTATGAACACAGGAAATAGATAATTGGCAATATCGGAGTCACGAATGTGATAAACACTCCAGAAAAAGAAATATTCCAACAAATAAGCGGCATCCTACCACAAGTATTCATGCATACAATTAAGAGCTGCCTGAACCAAGGGAGCAATCAGGAATGTCCAGCATATGTAGAAATGGGACATATCTAGCCTAATTAGCATCATCCGAGAACCAATATAAAAAGATAGACACAACACACCAGTGCCCTTTACTTCCAAATTTAGGTATAACACATATGAAAAACAATCACTTACAGTCGTCCATTTCCAATGGAATCATCCAACATTAGAATAGACGGCATACCTAGCTTATACTACAAAGAGTAGTTCCTCTTGCAGTCAAGGAAGGCGTGTTACCTCCCATTCGGGTTCTTTCAGATTTCTGCTGAATAGTCCTACTTTCAAGAAACGTCAGTTTTCTTCCCTAAGCACTAGCTCTACTTCAGCATTAGATTTGCACCTACTGCATGCAGAACACCAACAGGAATCCTAGACTACTTTTAGTGGAGGATGCTAGGCCTGAAGTTCCAACCCCAGAATTCCCTTAAGTGTCTGCATTTTTCTTGAAATTTACCTAATCAAACACAACAAAGGCCTACTCAGACACTGTCCATATGAACTAGCATCTATTTTCCTGTCACTGTCAATCAGCAGAAATCGTCACAATTCACACAGAATTTAGCTTCACGCCAACAAATCCTGCAAAAGGGGAGTCCAATTTCCATCCACTCCACTTTCCTAAAACACCTACACGAGAGCCTGGACTTCCTATGAAACGCCAATACAGTGGCCAGAGTAAGCAGACCAACGCTGCCCCCACAAACAAGCGTACTGTCAGAAACCAAAATTATGCAACGCCAACCAAGAATCCTACAAAAGAGCCCCAAATTTCGGAGAGGCAGGCCACGAGACCAACCCAACGGGGGAAAAATCACGAGGGGTATGAATCGAACCAAACCAGCTGCGGAGTGATAGTACGGCATGCCAGAATCAAGAACCAAGAACCAAGAAGGCACTCCAGGAAATGGAAATAGATGAGAACGATTTTGGCAGGGCGGTGCATGCAAGAACACGATTGGGGATTTCTCGGATGGGGGCGGGAGAGCAGTCAGGCAGTCACCTCCCCCGTATTCTCCCTTCGAGATCCTCCTGCTGTGCCTTGTCCGGTGGAATCCTTCTTAGACCGAGAAAGATTATGGGCGGAGAAGGCGAGAAGCGGAGGCGGAAGCACGAAGGATCAAGAAGAGGAGGGGACTGTCACTCTCCTCTAGCTGCCAAATATGCGACCTACCGTTTCTTTTTCTTTTTCTTTCTTTTCTTTCTGGGAATAAATGGCCTTCTGTCCACTAGTGTCACGTCACCAACCTTAAATAATTTTCTTAACACAGTATACACATATACACTCATCTCTATAAATGCACTCACGCATCCTAACCTATGATCATTTTGAGATTGACAAAATCAACACGCACCTAGTCGACGAGAACGTCTCCTCAAATATTGTTGGGTACACCAAGATTCACATAATCACTAGGTTGACACATCCTTTATGTAGCACGTCTATGTGGTTTTATGGGTATTTTCAAGCTAAAAGAGTTCTAATTATTATCATTACTAAATATGCAAACAAAAGATCCTGAATTCGAATAACACGCTAACCATTACAATATCTCCAGGGATGTGCTAGGCCCCGGTCGACCGAAGCAAAGGTTCGACAGTCGCCTGCTAGACACACAGTCTGACCTATCTCAGTCGTCTATCTCTCTCCTTCGGTCCTTCTTACTCACACCTCTCGTCTTTCCCCCTGACAAAAGATTTTGTCGTCCTGACCGCCTAGCAACACGCCACATGCATCTCGTCTAGCAACAGGCCCGTTCCCTCGATCTCCTTCCATCGCCAGCAAGCCAAGCACCCTCATGTAGCAGCAGGGACGCCCCTCCCTCTCCTTCCCTGACCGTGGTGACCATGATAGATGCAAAACGCCGACGACGGGTCACGACTCCACCGCTCAGTCGTGAACTGGTTCCAGCACAACAAAACGATGGTGTGCTACTCCTGTATGAGTTGTTGGATTCCTCGAAGAGGAAAGGAGATGTAGCATAGCAGCAAAAAGTATTTTCCTCGGTTAAGAAACCAATGTTTATCGAACCAGTAGGAGGCACCACACTAACATCTTTAGCAGCACCTGCACACAAACAAAACAATTGCTTGCACCCAACAAAGACAAGGGGGTTGTCACTTCTCTTGTTCTTTCTAGCCACGAGATTAAAAGCAGATAGTGATGTTGGGAAACGCAGTAATTTCAAAAAAATTCCTACGCACACGCAAGATCATGGTGATGCATAGCAACGAGAGAGGAGAGTGTTGTCTACGTACCCTCTTAGACCGTAAGCGGAAGCGTTATGACAACGCGGTTGATGTAGTCGTACGTCTTCACAATTGACTGATCCTAGTACCGAAAGTACGACACCTCCGCGATCTGCACACGTTCAGCTCGGTGACGTCCCATAAACTCGCGATCCAGCAGAGTGTCGAGGGAGAGCTTCGTCAGCACGACGGCCTGATGACGGTGATGATGATGCTACCGGAACAGGGCTTCGCCTAAGCACCGCTACGATATGACCGAGGTGGATTATGGTGGATGGGGGCACCGCACACGGCTGGAAACAATCAACTTGTGTGTTCTAGGGTGCCCCCTGCCCCCGTATATAAAGGAGCAAGGGGGAGGCCGGCCAGCCTTGGGGCGTGCCAAGGAGGGGGAGGAGTCCTCCTCCTAGTAGGAGTAGGACTCCCCCTTTCCTAGTCCAACTAGGAGGAGGGAGCGGAACGAAGGAGAGGGAGAGACGGAGGGAAAGAGGGGGCGCCCCCTCCTTGTCCAATTCGGACTCCCAAGGGGGGGCAGCCCTATGGCCCCTCCTCTCTGTCTCAGAAGGCCCATGTTGGCCCATTAGTTCCCCCGGGGGTTCCGATAACCCCCCGGCACTCCGATAATTATCCGGTGACCCTCGAAACTCATCCGGTGTCAGAATATAGTCATCCAATATATCAATCTTTATGTCTCAACCATTTTGAGACTCCTCGTCATGTCCGTGATCACATCCAGGACTCTAAACTCCCTTCGGTACATCAAAGCACATACACTCATAATACCGATCGTCACCGAACGTTAAGCGTGCGGACCCTACGGGTTCGAGAACTATGTAGACATGACCGAGACACGTCTCCGGTCAATAACCAATAGCGGAACATGGATGTTCATATTGGCTCCCACATATTCTGCGAAGATCTTTATTGGTCAAACCGCATAACGATATACGTTGTTCCCTTTATCATCGGTATGTTACTTGCCCGAGATTCGATCGTCGGTATCTCAATACCTAGTTCAATCTTGTTACCGACAAGTCTCTTTACTCGTTTCGTAATGCATCATCCCTCAACTAACTCATTAGTCACATTGCTTGCAAGGCTTATAGTGATGTGCATTACCGAGAGGGCCCAGAGATACCTCTCCGGTACTCGGAGTGACAAATCCTAATCTCGATCTATGCCAACTCAACAAACGCCATCGGAGACACCTGTAGAGCATCTTTATAGTCACCCAGTTACATTGTGACATTTGATAGCACACTAAGTGTTCCTCCGGTATTCGGGAGTTGCATGATCTCATAGTCATAGGAACATGTATAAGTTATGGAGAAAGTAGTAGCAACAAACTAAACGATCATCGTGCCAAGCTAACGGATGGGTCAAGTCAATCACATCATTATCTAATGATGTGATCCCGTTAATCAAATGACAACTCATGTCTATGGTTAGGAAACATAACCATCATTGATTCAACGAGCTAGTCAAGTAGAGGCATACTAGTGACACTCTGTTTGTCTATGTATTCACACATGTACTAAGTTTCCGGTTAATACAATTCTAGCATGAATAATAAACATTTATCATGATATAAGGAAATATAAATAACAACTTTATTATTGCCTCTAGGGCATATTTCCTTCAGTATCCCACTTGCACTAGAGTCAATAATCTAGATTACATTGTAATGATTCTAACACCCATGGAGTCTTGGTGCTGATCATGTTTTGCTCGTGAGAGAGGCTTAGTCAACGGGTCTGCAACATTCAGATCCGTATGCATCTTGCAAATCTCTATGTCTCCCTCCTTGACTTGATCGCAGATGGAATTGAAGCGTCTCTTGATGTGCTTGGTTCTCTTGTGAAATCTGGATTCCTTTGCCAAGGCAATTGCACCAGTATTGTCACAAAAGATTTTCATTGGACCCTATGCACTAGGTATGACACCTAGATCGGATATGAACTCCTTCATTTGATGCTTTCGAAGCAGCTATGTACTTCGCTTCACATGTAGATCCCGCCATGACGCTCTTCTTGGAACTGCACCAACTGACAGCTCCACAATTTAATAAAAACATGTATCCGGTTTGTGACTTAGAGTCATCCGGATCAGTGTCAAAGCTTGCATCGAGGTAATCGTTTACGACGAGCTCTTTGTCACCTCCATATACGATAAACATATCCTTAGTCCTTTTTAGGTATTTCAGGATGTTCTTGACCGCTGTCCAGTGATCCACTCCTGGATTACTTTGGTACCTCCCTGCTAAACTGATAGCAAGGCACACATCAGGTCTGGTCCACAGCATTGCATACATGATAGAGCCTATGGCTGAAGCATAGGGAACAACTTTCAT